CAGAGCAGGGCGGATTGGGAGGTTGCGATGCCACCCTCAGTCATGCTCAGGGTAGGGCCAATTGAGGGGTTGGGGCACCATCCCCCGTCACACTCACGGTAGGGTCGATGGGGAGGTTACGGCGACCCAGGATTCAGTGGGTCCAGCTCCAAGGGTGGGTTCCTGCCTCAAACCCCGCCCTCACCAGAAATAGCTCGGGGGAGGGCTCAGCCGTTGCCAAGACAACCCCTGCAGGACTGACTTCCTTCCGCTTGGTCGCCAGGCCCAGTTGTGATCAACACCACCCAGGGTTTTTATATAAGTAGATTAACTCCCCTTTCCAATTCTTCAGACCCTTCCCCATTCCCACACCTCAGTAACCATATTCCCGGATGACAAAATTTTGTTAAGAGCAATTACATAAATTTGATGATTCAACAACTCAACATTTATTGAGCTCATTATATACATGACTGTAATATTTGCGATTAAGACAGATAAGCCAAGGTCTCCACCCTCAAAAGTTTTGTAAGCCAGGCATGTAAACAGGTACTTACAATATAGTGTCATTAGTACAAAGCAACAGATAGAAGTATCAAATGGTAATATTCTTACAGATAAATCAGATCTAGAATCCAACTCTCAGCTAAAGAAATGTCAATTTTAAAAAAAGTAATATTCTAGACTGTCAGTTTAAGTGTTTTCCATGAACTATGTAAGTTACTCTGTAAGAATGTGATATCATTCCTCATTTCCCTGATGAGGAAATTGAATGTTAGGTTAAATAACTTGCCTATAATCACATTGTTGGAAAATTTGGCTAATAGTCTCCCAACTTGATGTGTTCCCACTTTTGTGACACAAATTAAATCTTACAATAATAAGTAAGAACAGCTTATCTGACAGAAGAAAGACAACGAACAGGTAAACAAGGGGATTAAATGTAGATAAGGAAAGAAAATCAAAGAACCTAATTATGTTGAACACTCTAAGGCAGTGGTTCTCAACCTTGGCTGCACATGAGAATCTTTTTAAAATCCTGATTTCTGGGCCTCATCCTCCGGAAATTATGTTTCTTTGTTATGGGGTGAGGCCACCACATTAGTAACAAAGAGGAAGCCTGTTTGAGAAGGTATGGGCAGCTATACACCTGCATGGCTCCCTTCTCACATGGCTCCCTCCTCGGAGGACTTCCGTATATAAGATGCCCCTCGATTTTCAGTCTAATGATTTTAGAAAAAAAATGGCATCTTATACACAGAAAAATATGATAAATGCTGCTCAGGGGAAAGTTATCTGCAAGGCAGATGTTAAGGAACATAGAAAATCTAATCACTGGTTTTCAAACTTGTTGAGCCATGACCACAGTTAAGAAATACATTTTAGCACAGGGACATGTTGCGGATGGAAATAGCTACAGTTTCCATGTGTATGACCTTTGACCTGGCGACAAACATCATACACCTATAGATGAGGACAGTAGGGGGTAAGGGCAGAGGGTGGGGTGGGAACTGGGTGGAGGGGAGCTACTAGTAGGAGGTGTGCAGGAGGCAGCTGATTGATGTTTCTCTCCCATCAGTGTTTCTAAGTCTCTATTCCTCTCCCTAACTGTAATAATCTGAACAATAAAGATATATTTAAAAAAAATAAAAATGTAATGTGGGTAAACTAAATAAAAAAGAAATACATTTTATGTCATGACTCAGGACACACATAACTGAAACAGAAGTTTCACAAAACAGTACTTTTATTGAGACACGTTCTGATTGTTTCCATTTAGAATATTCATTCTTTTTAAAAGAACCTGAATCCAATAAAGCTTTTATTTTTTAAATATATGTATATTTTACTGATTTCAGAGAGGAAAGGAGAGGTAAAGAGAGACAGAAACATCAATGATGAAAGAGAATCATTGACTGGTTCCCTCCTGCACACTCCCTACTGGAGATCGAACCCGAAACCTGGGCATGTGCCCTTGACCAGAATTGAACCTGAGACCCTGTAGTCCACAGACCTATGCTCTATCCACTGAGCAAAACCAGCTAGGGCTCTTCATTCCTTTTTAAATTGCTGGTCCTCACTAAATTGAATTTGGGTGGAAAAAAGTATGTTTGAAAAATACAAGTTAACTGGGCAAGTACCAAAATATAAACATTTCACAAATTCAAAAAGTTCAGCAATCCCGAAATAAGATAAATACAAAGAAAAGAAAAACTAGGTAGTTCATGGTTAACCTGCTGAAAATCAAAGATAAAGGGAAAATCTTTTTAAATATATTTTATTGATTTTTTTACAGAGAGGAAGGGAGAGGGATAGAGAGTTAGAAACATCGATGAGAGAGAAACATCAATTCAGCTGCCTCCTGCACACTCCCGACTGGGGATGTGCCCGTAACCAAGGTACATGCCTTGATCAGAATTGAACCCGAGACCCTTCAGTCTGCAGGCGGACGCTCTATCCACTGAGCCAATCTCG